TATCAGCCATACCAGAGGTGGAAAAATGGTGGCCTTGTGGTTCACACAAGATTCTTTAAAACTCTGAATTTTGTACTAACAGTTTAAGCCAGGGAATTTGAAAGAGAAATCAATACTTCCGACTGGGCTCAGTGGCAGCTCATACTTGTAGTCCTAGCACTTTGGGAGGCAGAGGCAAGAGGATCACTTGAGCCCAGGAGTTTGAGACCAGCCTGAGCAACATAGCAAAACCCCATTTCTACAAAAAACAAACAAACAAAAAAACAGAAAAATTAGCCCGGTGTGGTGGCATGTGCCTGTAGTCTCAGATACTCAGGAGGCTGAGACAGGAGGATTGCTTTGAGCCCAGGAGTTTGAGGTTGCAGTGAGCTATGATGATGCCACTGCACTCTAGCCTGGGAAACAGAGCAAGACCCTGTCTCAAAAAAAAAAAAAAAACGATTGCCAGCTTCTCTTTAAAAATGTGAAAGATCTGGCAACATGGGGCCAGCATGCTGGTATGACCATGCTCAGCTAAAGATGGGGGGCAGTGCAGAGGCTGCCCAATGTAATGCCCACCAGTCAGGCCTCCACCGGCATTTGAGCTTGTGATCCCTGTGAATGTGCCTCAAGGCAAGGACTGTGGCCTCAAAGCATTTCCACTGCCCAGTACAGGCCACACAGCAGGTGTTCATAAGACTTGTTTTATTATTATATTAATTGGTAATCATTCATATGACAATCGATCAGTTTCTCCTATTAAAGACTCTTTGGCTGGGCCCAGCCAAGGCCAAGCTCCTGGAGGATGCGCAAGCTAGAGACTCAGCCAGCAAGGCACCCCAGGGCACCGGCCAGGGTCTCTGGCCAGACACTCACACCCACTGCACTTCACCGTAGGAAATACTTCCTGTATCTCCACAGGCCTGTGGTGAGGGTCTAACAAGACAAAGATGTGAAAGTGTTTTAAAAGAAAACCTCAACCTCATTTCTAAAACCCTTTTACAAAACATAAATGACACATAAGGGGCTGGCCAAAGAACACATGGCATGCTGAGCCCTTCCTCTGTGCCTGGCACCACACTGTTTCATATCCATTATCTCATTTTGCCCTATGACATTATTGTTGTTTCCATTTCACAGCCCAGGAAACTGAGGCTCAAAGAGGGTAAGTGACTTGCCCAAGCACATGCTGCCAGAGAGTCTGATGCCAAAGTGAGTGAGTGCCTGGAACTCCAGGAACTCCAATGTTAGTGAAGAAAAGTACACATGCCTCCTTCCTCCCAAGCGTTAACGTAAATTAAAATGGAGACCAAGCCTGAAGAATCCCTGAGCAGACAAAACCAAGTAGGTCTCATAAGTGACCCAAATCCTGCATAATCACAAACATAAGCAAAACTTAACTTGGGTCATTTCTAGTAAATGTTTATGTTAGACAGAAATAAAACCACCCAGCCAATCACAAGCGGTCAACTAACCCAGGCTTGTGTAACTAGGGACTTTCCAACAAGGTACCTAAAAAAAGGCAATTTGATCATTGCAAACCAATAAAATAATTTGTTTCCACATCTTCCCAATAAATACTTGCCTCTGACATTTTGTCATCGTAACACTAAACCTCTTTCAGTCTAGTGTTCCCCAATTCATGAATTGCTTCTTACTCAAATTCTTCAAAATTTAGTTGTGCCTCAGCTGTTCCTTTTACCAAACAGCGCACGCCGACCGTGCAGGACGCGGAATCGCTTTAGCAAACACTCCACAAAGCGATGTCCAGGATCCTTGGCTTCGGCAGGAGGACTGTGCGGGCTCGATGCCGGAAGGGAAAACGGGGTTCCCACGCAACGGTTCCTCCAAGGGGATGGGTACCGGCTACCACAACGCGGCGGGGGACGGCGGGAGACGGCGGGAGCTCGGCCAGTAAGTCACGTTGTGCCTCCAGGACCCTCCCTGTGCCGCTCGCCTTACCCACCGCCGACGGGGAGGGCCGCGCGCCGCGCGGGAAGCGCGGGTGCGGGTGAGGCGGGACCGGGACGCACCTGGATGTCCTCGATCATGTCGGGCGTGAAGAGCTCGCGGCTCAGCAGAGCATCCCAGAGCAGGACCACCTGCAGCTCGCTGACCAGCCGCACCCGGGACCGCCGCAGGAGCTGTCGGTCCGCTTCATCCATGGCTGGCAGACGGCTGGGACCCAGGGCCGCCTCCGTCGGCTTCCGGGCCACGGCCGCCGCGCCGTGTCGGGTCTTCGGGACCCGCCCCTACCCCAGGACCGCAGGCGCGTCACCGCCCCGCCCCCAGGATCCAGCTCCCCCCATCGCTCCCCCTCTGGGTCCACCCTCCCGTCACCGCCCCGCCCCCAGGATCCAGCTCCCCCTTCGCCCCGCTTCCTGAGTCCATCCTCCCGTCGCTGCCCCGCCTCCTGGATCCAACTGCCCCATCGCCCCGCCCCTTGGGTCCACCCTCCCGTCACCGCCCCGCCCCCGCGATCCAGCCCCGCCCCCTAGGTCCACCCTCCCGTCACCGCCCCGCCCCCTGAGTCCTCCCGTCGCTGCCCCGCCTCCAGGATCCAACTGCCCCATCGCCCCGCCCCCTGAGTCCATCCTCCCGTCGCTGCCCCGCCTCCTGGGTCCAACTGCCCCATCGCCCCGCCCACTGGGTCCACCCTCCCTTCACCGCCCCGCCCCCAGGTCCAGCTCCCCCCATCGCCCCGCCCCCTGGGTCCATCCTCTCGTCGCTACCCAGCCTCCAGGATCCAGCCCCCACATCGCCCTGCCCCCTAGGTCTAGCCTCCTATCGCTGCCCCGCCCCCAGAATCCAGTTCCCCTCATCGCCCTGCCCCCTAGATCCATTATCGCGTCGCTGCCCCACCCCCAGGATCCAGCTCCCATCGCCCCGCCCCCTGGGTCCACCCTCCCGTCGCTGCCCCACCCCTAGGATCCAGCCCCGCCTCGTCCCGCCCCCTGGGCGCATTCTCCGGTCGCTGCCCTACCCGCAGGATCCAGCCCCCCTATCGCCCCACCCCCCTGGTTACATTCTCCCGTCGCTGCCCCACCCCCAGGATCCAGCCCCACCCCTGGGTCTATACCAGTCACTGCTCCGCCCCCAGGATCCAGCCCCCTGGGTCGCGCTGCCTCCGGGGTTCATCCTCTGGTCACCGCTCCGCCCTCAAGGCCCATACTCCAGTAACTGCCGGGTCCCCAGGGCCCATCCTCTAGTCCCCTCCATCGCAATGCCCCCAGGGTCCAGCCTCCTGTCACTGCCCCGCCCTCAGGGTCTGGGCTCTCATCGCCGCCCCGCCCCCAAGATGCCCCTCCGCGCGCTCTCCCGACTTACTAGATCCAGCGCCTCCATCTCTCCGCCCCCAGAGCGCACCTCCGCACCTCGCCCCACCCCAGGGTCCATCCTCTCCTCACCGCCCGCTCCCAGGATCCAGACCCCTACCGCCTCGCCCCCAGAGACCATCCTTTTTGTCACAGCCCCGCCCCGCCCCTGGGCGCCCCTGCGGACCCTCGCCCCACCCCCAGAATACAGTCCCCCATTGCCCTGCTCGGAGGATCTTCCTCCTGTTACCGCTCCGCCCCAGGACCCACCTTCGCGTCACCGCCCCCCTCCCAGAGCAGGTGCCGCTTGGTTGTAAGTGACTCCAATTCCCAGCCCGCCGCAGGCCCCCCTGACAGGATTCACGACGACCGGGTCACATTACTAGCAAAAGGGACAGCCATGGCCTGTCCCGCCCCATTCAACCCCCTCCAGTGTATGGCTTCCCTCTATCCCCCTGCCTTGCTCCCAGTAAAACCATGAGTCCTCCCAGCCTCGGTGCCCAGATCGCAGCTTACTGTTCCGAACTCGCAGTCTGATCCAACCAAACCCGCCTTACACAGTCTTCCATTCCCCTCTTCCCTGCCCTCCTAACACCTCTCACAAAGATTAGGGGAAAAAAGAAACTGGCAGAAATCTAGTCCTCTGAACTCCCATAGTATTGTATGGTTCATTTCCACATTTCAGAAAATAATGGTTTCTGTTTACTGAACATTTGCTAAATCCCAACCATTGTGCTAGCCACTTTTACATGCGTAATCTCATTTATCCCTGACCAAAATCCTGCCAAGGAAGGGAAGTATTCTTCTCCCCACCTCTTTTCCCGTTTTATGGTTGTAGACCCTGGGGCTCAGGGAACTTGTCACTGTTAAAGGTCACACAAGTAGTAAGCGGAAGAGGCAGGCAGGATTCAAACCCGAACCTGACTCAACAGTCAACACTCTTAACCAAGAGTCCACCTTAGAATATAATCGCTTGAGCAGCAAAACTTCAACCTCATTCATTTATTCTACAAATATTTATTAAGCCAGCATGTGCCAAAGTCAAACACAGAGAATACAGAGATAAACAAAACAGACAAAAATCCCTGCTTTTAGGAGCTTACATTCAGTGGGAGGAGTCAGGAGATGAATAACAAAAGATATGTTAGATAGTAATTAATGCAAGCCAGAAAAAAAAATAAAAACAAGGCAGGAAAGTCTTTCTTTATATCCTCAAGGGACAAATTTCCTTGGCTGGAAGAAAGTTTACCTCATTCACCTCAGCCTTTTCCCTGTCCCCACCCCACCGCCCTCTCCGCCCTCTTCCGTGCTTAAGGCAAGGCCTGGCAGTCCCTTGGGCGGAGATCTCGCTTTCTGGGAAATGGGATTAGGAGTCCTGATTCTAGCCTTGGGCAAGTGCCTGCCCCTCTCTGGGCCTCAGCCTTCCCATCAATATATGGAGGAGTCGGAGGATCCCTAAGGTCCCTTCCAATCTGCCGCTCTAGGATTCTATGAATAGGGTTAAAGGCAACGGAGACCGGTGATTGCTTCCCCATCCTAGCAACCGTTGCTAGACAAGGGCCATCTCCTAGTAGGCGTGGAAACCCCTCCCTGAATCGGGGAGGTCTTTCGGGCATCCCGTCATGCATAGCGACTTCGCCTCGCTAGGAGGCACGTTTGGGCCTCTTTGGTCACGATCAACCCTTTGGCTCCAGCCAAAGAGCGCGCCTCGTTCCTATAGCAACCGCGCCAGGTCCACGCGCAGACGGCAAGTGGCAAGGGTCAAAACAGATGCGCAGAGTAGAAGCCCTCGACCTGATCGATCGTGCCTTCGGTGCGCCGGACCTTTAAGTGTCATGTGACACACACACCCCTCCCCCGTCTCCTCCCGCCTCTTTCCCCTCCCCAACCCCGGCGAGCGCTGGTGTGGACGGGAAGCTCCCGGCCCAGCGGATTAACTGGAGTGCGGACGCTGCAGCCGGTTGGGCCGGTGCCCTTTCCCGGTAACTCCTTCCCGGCGTGACGCGCGGAGCCGCCAACGCGGCGGAGCCGGGCAGGCTCTAGGATCTCCCATCAATTTCTTGTCGTTCCCAGTCCCTGGTGGGCCCGGGGAGAACCGGGAGCCGACAGGGCCCGGCCCCAGGACTCTCGGGGGGCGGCGGGGGAGGGGGCGGTCTCCTGGAGGGTCGCGACCTCCGGCGGGAGCTCGAGGCAGGGCTCAAACTTAAGAGTTTGTCTCTAAGAGCCTCTACAAGGTCCCGGAGATGCAGCCCAGAAAGGTGGCAGCCTACCTGTTGGGCAGGTGGTTTCCTACCCTGAGGCCGGCACCCTCGAGCTCCAGACTGTCAGCAAAAGAACTTCACAGCCCCCTGCCACTTGGGCCCCTCTAGCTGGAGGGTACTGACACAGATGAATGAGACAGTGATCCGTACTGCATATTAGAAATAATAATACTAACTACTACTTAATGGTTGTTGATTTGGTGCTCAGTAAATCTTTTACATATATTTAATCCCCCATGACGACCCTTCAAAATAGTATTATTCATTGCCATTTTATGAATGACACTGAGGTTTAGTATGTTTAAAGAAGTTGCCCGAGGTCATAAAGTGGAGAACAAATACAGGGAGAAACTGGTTTGTTTTAGGATTTGATTCTGCATGTATGCAGTTCTAGACATTGGTCATCAGATTAGTCAATTTTGTGGAGGCTCCTAAGAAGCATTAAACTCCCATTTGTCAAAATCCACTGCTGTTACAGCTTTGTCCCTCTTGAGTCAGGTGTCATGTTAACACTTGAACCTTAAAACTAAATTTATGAAAAATCAAGATAAATGTGACCTTGAAAAGACATTGTATGGTATGACAAAGATCATAATTCTGAAAGATAAACGTCTACAATACTAGCACTACATTGTTTACCAATCAGCCAGGATTGTTTCCAAAACCGGCAATAAATTCAATCACTACACTCAACAGAGATTGAACTTAAACTTTTTAAGACTATGCCTGTTCTCCAGTCTGTTTTAATTCTTCTTTACTTGGAAAACTAAATTTTTTTTCTCATCTGAGGTTTCTATTTATGATGATCCTATTACTAACAAATTTAAGAGAAGCTTCTCATTTTCTTGTTTAAGTGGACATGGTGAGAAAGAATAGAATTGAGGCATACTAAATCTTAACTATACAGTTTTTAAAGAGTATTTCTTATTTGTACTTATTTAACACCCAAACACAACTATCTCATTTTGTAGTTTAGCACATGACAAATCTTATAATTTTATGAGTTTATTTAACATGCACTCAGTGAATTATTCTTAAACCATTAATTTTGTTTAAACCATTATTGTCAGAATAAGTTAAGTAATGTATTTAAGATGTAGTCACCCTGATTACCCTACTTATGTTTTCCCACATTCACTTATTATTTCTGCATCTCATTCATTTTCAGTCATTTTGAAAGCTTTTCTAATCCAAGATTCTGGAGAGTTGCTATTAATTCTCATTGTTCATTTTTTCACCCTATAATAGTTCTTATTTGTGATATTCAAAAGTAGTAGTGAGATTTTTTTTGTTTTAAAAGATACGGTCAAACAGCTTGACACTTTTCCTGCAAAATGTCTTCAGTTTGTTTTGGTTTTCATCTATATATCTTGTATCTTTACCTAAAAAGCAAGACTGTCTGGGTTTCTGCCACTGAAACTTAATTGCCTCTTCAATCATTTCAGCTCTGGAAAGGAAGAGAAATGGAAGTGAAAAAGTTGAGCATTTCCTGGCAGTTCTTGATAGTTCTGGTTCTGATCCTGCAAATTCTGTCTGCGTTGGATTTTGACCCATACAGAGTCCTAGGGGTCAGCCGAACAGCCAGTCAGGCTGATATTAAAAAGGCTTATAAGAAGCTCGCCCGGGAATGGTAGGTGAAACAAAGAAATAGAAGTTTAATATAAGCTAAGCAGTCTTAGTAGGGGAATGAAGCCTAAATTATGATTAGCTTTTATTTATTTGTCTGTTTCTATGTTTCATACATATATACATATAATATTTTATGTAGGAGAACTAATGTTCATATTCTGTAATTTTTAGTGATAAGATCCAAAACCTGTGTTTACTCTAAAATCCCCTTTTGGGAATACTTTGGCTTAAACAATTGCCTTATATATTGTTAGCATATTTAATGTTAAAGTAAGAAGAGCTTTAATTTCTTAAAAAATATAATCAACAATGCATAAACTACCCTTCCCATAATATTTTATTCATAAAGTAACTCTTTATGAGTGTAATTGCTAAAAGGAACAATATACAATCCTATCCTCTAAATGATTAATTTTTAAGCTTTAAAAAAAAAAGTTTAGAATAAGAGCTTTTTGCCCTCAGTTTAAAAAAAATTCAGCAACCAAGTGTAGTTGTGCCTTGGTATCTGTGGAGGATTGTTTTCAGGACCCCTGAGAATACCAAAATCTGTGGATGCTCAAGTCCCTGATATAAAATGGTGTAGTATTTGCATATAACCTATGCACATCCTCCCATGTACTTTAAGTCATTTCTAGATTACTTATAATACCTCATACAGTAGTGAATGCAATGTATATGGTTGTTATGCTATATTGTTTGAGCAATAGTGACCCAAAAAAGTCTATATGTTCAGTACAGATGCAGTTTCTTTTAATTTTCTGTCTGTGGTTGGTTGAATCCACAGATGTGGAACCCGCAGATATGGTGGGCCAACTGTACATTACTTTTTTTAAACTCTTATAGAAGTCTGAGCATGGTGGCTCAGCTCACACCTGTAATCCCAGCACTTTGGGAGGCTAAGACTAAGGCCAGGAGTTTAAAACCAGCCTGGACAATATAGTGAGACCCCTTTTCTACAAAAAAAAATAGAAAAATTAGCTGGGCGTGGTGGCACATGCCTGTAGTCCCAGCTACTCAGGAGGCTGAGATAGGAGGATCACTTGAGCCCAGGAATTCAAAGTTACAGTGAGCTATGATCAGGCCATTGTACTCTAGTCTAGGTGACAGAGCAAGACCTTGTCTGTAAAAAAGATAACCAAAAAAATCAAAGAAAAAATTGTAATTGTTAGCAGGATGGCAATAAATCTAAACTTATTTTGGACAAAAGTCATTGGTGTCTTCCACCTATGCTTTGGCCATGCCAAGGAAGCAGAAGTGTTGGATTATATAGCTGCAGGGGGAGCAGTAGCAGGAAGAAAGGATGGAAAGAAAGGACACAGTTGACTGCAAGCTAGCTGAACCTACTGTAAGCAGTGGAAGAAAGTTTGGGACAGGTGCCATCACTGAGCACCTGCTGCATGCTAGCCTCCAGATTCTATGTTTTTCGCTCATTTAAACCGTATAATCGACCTATGAAAGAGGATATTGTTGTCTATGTTGTGAAGATGAGAAAATCGAGGCTCAGAGTTGGTGAATCTGTCCTAGATTCCATAGTTTGACCTTGTGCATCAATAGTGTATTGCTAGGCCGGGCGTGGTGGCACAGGCCTGTAATCCCAGCACTCTGGGAGGCTGAGGCGGGAGGATCACTCAAGGTCAGAAGTAGAAACCAGCCTGAGCAAGAGCAAGACCCCGTCTCTACTAAAAATAGAAAGAAATTAATTAGCCAACTAAAAGCATATATAGAAAAATATAGCTGCACATGGTCACGTGCCTGTAGTCCCAGCTAGTGGGACTGAAGGCAAGATTGCTTGAACCCAGGAGTTGAGGTTGCTGTGAGCTAGGCTGACGCCACACATTTTAGCCTGGACAACAGAGTGAGACTCTGTCTCAAAAAAAAGAAAGAAAGGAAAACAGTGTATGCTGTTATTGTTTTTAACCATTTATCCATCTAGGATAAGTAAAGGTGATTGGGTTATGTTTGAGTGGGAAGGAGCTGATGAATAACAGAACTATGCAAGAGTAAGCAGTGGAGGGACTGTCTACCACTGTTGTGCTTCAGTGAGCAGATTTATCTTAGCATTGAAACTAGTTAAAATAAAGGTAAAGGTAGTTTAAAATACAATGTTTGGGCAGCACAGTGGTTCAGCCTGAAATCCTTAGCACTCTGGGAGGCCGAGCAGGAGGATTGGTGAGCTCAGGAGTTGAGATAAGCTGACAAGAAGCGAGACCCCATATCTACTAAAAAAAAAAAAAAAAATAAAAAAAATATTGATTGGCAACTAAAATATAAAAAAGGTAGCCAGGTCATGGGGTTGCACGCTGTAGTGCCCAGCCACTGGGGAGGCGAAAGCCAGGAATCAGTGCTGTAACCAGCTTGACCATGCACTGTAGTCCAGTCAACAGACCAAGACTCTTGTATCGAAAATATATATATATATATGTATATAATGTTTTGAATAAATTTTTTAGACCATATTTATATCATGAGTACCCCAGAATTGGAAACTAAAAAAACCAATCTCTAATTATGCAGGACCTCTTGCCAGTGACTCTTTACACCAAAGTTGCTTTCTGTATCTTTTCAGACTCTTGCCTCTTTATGTTTAAAACAAAATATATAAATCTGCAATTAATTCATAAGGTAACATTCTATTGGACAGTGTGCAGCCTTTGACAATATTTTAAGAGCACAAATAACAGCTTGTATATGTGGGACCTATGAAAATGTACACATTTGACTTTTCTGTCTCCCAGAGCTGAAAAGGGTGTTATGATATTAATTACATAAGTCATATGCTTCTCTCCTTTAATTAGATTCTCTCTAGGAATAATTCATCACCATAGAAATATACCAAGTGTGTCATCCATTAAGAAAGCGTCTAAAGTTTTACTTTACTTTTGTAATTCTGCTGTGCTGTCATATTCTGCTCCTTGGGCTGTGGCAATGCTTTACCACTTGGAATGGTTTAAGTTTGACTTCATAATTGTTTCATATACTGAAAATAGCAGTGTTTCCCAGTTTGCCTTTTCAGAGTGAGCTGTAGCAGGGGGAAGTGGTTAATTGTAGAATTGGATCTATAGGTTTCCTCTCTTATGTCTTACTAAGCATTTCTCAGACTTCTTAAGAATTTTTCCTTGCTTGGTGAAACCATTTGAAATTACTTTTTTCTCTCAGGAAAACCGTTTCTCTCCCAATAACTAAGTTTTACCACAGGTAATTTTTTCATTTGTCACTCACATTTTCAAAATAACTCCTCCCACTCTAAGAAAAGCAAATTGATAATAACATGATCCAGTCAACTAAACAATAAATTATTAATAATTTTTCTAATTCTTTGTTGTATTACTTTTTCTATCTTTGTTTTTATTCCTTTAGGAGTAACTGGAAAGCCAGTAGATACTAAGTACAATATTTTCTTCCTTTGAAATTTAAAGGTTGAGTATTGTATTGGAGTTCATAATATAATTTCCTATTTGCTGAAAATAGCATAGGATGCTGTCTTTCATAGGGCTGAATTTATCCTTTTGTAAATGTTTCAACCTTGTGGTATTTTCCCACAATTAGGAAAATATTCCTTATAAGCTGAAACTGCCTTGTGGTTTCCTCCCTGTTCCTGAGCCCTGGCCTCTTTTTCAGGATCTGGGTTTTCTAACCCAGCTGCCCTCAAGACTCTCTCTTTGGTTCAATTTTCTAAAAAGCCCCTTCCTTCTCCTCTTTCCCTACAGAGTTCTATATGTTAGATCTTCATTTATATGATTGCATAATTTTTATCCACTCAGCCTTTAGCCTAAGTTTGAATTTTATTTTTTTTTGGTCACCCAGAAACATGCTTTAGAACCACCATCTTGTTTCCTTAAGTCATACTGTTTTCATTATACCTCTGAGATTTTTCTTCCCACTAATATTTATAGCAAGGATTAAATAGTTAAGGAAAAAACTATGTCTAAATTCAACAGTCAAGCATTTTAAGTGTCCTTATGTTTAGAGAAATCAGAATATGTGGTATAATTCATTCAAACACATTCGTGCTAGAATAACTCTATCAAATTATAGATAGATTCTTTTTTATTCCAATGTATTTGGCACATTTTTAGTATTTGCTTCCAGTGGATTGTTTTTCTTTCCAAAACCTTAGTCAGAGGGAATTTGCTAGAAGTTAACGGAAGTGATTATATAGAGAATAAATTCTGACCGGGCACAGTGGTTCAGGCCTGTAATCCTAGCACTCTGGGAGACCAAGGCGAGATGATCGCTCAGGGTCAGGAGTTCAAAACCAGCCTGAGTGAGTGAGACCCCGTCTCTACTAAAAATAGAAAGAAGTTAATTGACCAACTAAAAATATATATACAAAAAATTAGCTGGGCATGGTGGTACATGCCTGTAGTCCCAGAACATTGAAAAATTGATCTGTACAAAACACTGATTTAGATTATAGGAGGGTCCAAGTAAACCTAGCCCCTTCTTTCCAGAACTTTAAAATCCCCAAAGCTGTAACCAGTATAAAGACAAGATGACTGAAAAATAATACATGCCAGCAAGATGGACACAGTTAATTGCCAGCTATACATAATAGCAAATGTTTAAGATTTAGTTCTAATATTATTTGAAATAACTTTGCATGAACTGTAGACTTTTTTCACATCTTAAACATGTGCCCTTAAAATTATCTATTTATAAGTAAAAGGCAATCCACAGGCAGAATGGGATAAAATGAGAGTAATAATGAAAACTAAAATGTTCTAATTTGAAAGTCAGCAGCAAGATACTATTTGAAACGTGATTGATACTAAATAAATTCACTCTCATCCTAAAACTGTTCCTTATGTCTACCTGTATTATCTGAAGAAACACCTAGATCAGTATCATTTTAACATTGAGATGAAATGCTGCCATTCTAGGAAAAGACGTGGGTTCTTATGGATAAGTGATTTAGTCTTGAACCAGCTTTAGCAATGGTTGGGAGCAATGTAAAGCATGCACAATCCCCCCCTTTCTTATTGAAATGATGCAGTACTATCTGGTGCTTTGAAAATGTGCCCAGCTGCAGTGTTTTGAGAAGAAATCACCTGTTTCAGAGTTTCATTTATTACATTCATATAAAGCAGCTGATTGCTTCTACATTTATTTTAAGAAACTATCCTAACAAAATGGCCCTCCATTTCGTCTGATGTAGTGAAGTGTGTGAACAAAGATGTTAAATGACTGTGTAAAAAATCAAATCCATTCTCCCTGCCTGCCCATTTGTGTTTCAGGCATCCTGACAAAAACAAAGATCCTGGAGCTGAGGACAAGTTCATTCAGATCAGCAAGGCTTATGAGGTAGTGTGTCAGACTTTGCGATGCATCCATTAGCTGTTATAAAATATGCTTTAAGTGATCAGTTTTATAACTGTCTCTGAGAAAGTGCATGTTCCCCGTGCCCTTAACCCACTTTCTAGGTGATAGTAGAGAGAACATATTTAGCCACTTCCAATATGTTGAAACGAGTGCCTGAACACTTCAGCTCTCGAAAAAACTGGCCTATTTTAAAGGCTTTAATTAGAATTGTAGAATTACCTTGAATATATGTCTATTGCGTTTTTTTAGAAATTTACATGAAAGAATTCACCTATATTTATTAAACTGGCACAGGATTACAAATACATTTAAATGCAAGATTTTCAATAATTTTCCAACATGTCAGCTTAAGTAGGTTGGTCTGGAATATGCATAAAAGATAAGTCTGTAGCTTCCTGATTTGTGTAGAGTAATGCTTTTCAACAAAAAGTGCTTAGCTCATAGAATGACATATCATCCTAAAACAGATTCTTAATTTTTAGATATCAAAGCTATTTTTAAGTAAAACAAAGTCAACAGCATACAAGGTACTAGACTCAATTCTATAGCTACTTTTTTGGTATTCACAGCTTTTCATGTCTTGGTTTAAATTATTCCAACCTATAAGGCCTGACCAAGTCAATTTTCTTGTGATTGAGTCCTGGTGATCAACATTAAGTTTATTTGTTTTACTAAAGTGTTTAGTATTGTGATAGTTCAAAATCAATGCCAAGATGAGCATGACAACTAAACAACTGAAATATTTTGGTCTTGAATTTTCTTTAATGTTTCTATCGAGAGAAAAGTTTTTTGGGCCAGGCACGGTGGCTCACACCTGTAATCCTAGCACTCTGGAAGGCCAAGGTATTAGGATTGCTTGAGGTCAGGAGTTCAAGACCAGCCTGAGCAAAGAGTAAGACCCTGTTTCTAAAAAAGTAAAAAACAAAAAATTTTTTTAAAAAGAGAAGGATTTCTTGGTATGTTGAATGACTGACTGTATTTAGACTATTTCATTAAGTCAGAATCTGTACATGTATTTTCTTCCTGTGTCTTCCAAGCTGCTTACAGAAAAGTCCTTTGGGTAAACTTTTCTTTTTTAACTCTCCCTCATTTCACTTTATGAACCTCTTATTTTGGTTGTTTTGATTTCTTATTTTTTTTTTTATCTTTGTAGATTCTTTCCAGTGAAGAGAAGAGATCACATTATGATCGCTATGGACATGCTGGAGAGAGCCAGGGCTACCAGAAGCAGCGAGAGTACCGCTTCCGCCATTTCCATGAAAATTTTTATTTTGATGAATCGTTTTTTAACTTCCCGTTTAATTCTGAGCGGCGGGAATCCATTGATGAAAAGTATTTACTGTACTTTTCATATTATGTGAATGAAGTGGTTCCAGATAGCTTCAGGAAACCCTACCTCATTAAGATCACCTCAGATTGGTGCTTTAGCTGTATCCATATTGAACCTGTTTGGAAAGAAGTAGTTCAAGAACTGGAAGGCTTGGGTAAGATCATTTTGTTCATTGGAAGATGTTTATGTAAGAAAAGATGACTTTTATATCTCTTGAATTGTATGAGATATTGGGGGAAAGGAGCAGTTAATGTGATTTCTAGTCACAAGTTCATGGTGATTGGTGTTTTCTGTGGACACATTTTCAATTATGTATAAGCCACTTTCATTTACATGACTACTTTGAAGTTTTATCTGTATAGTCTCCTAATATCAAGTTGGGGGCCTAATACATAGGAGAAACTTAATAATTACTGATTGAGGCCGGGCACAGTGGCTCATGCCTATAATCCTAGCACTCTAGGAGGCTGAGGTAAGTGGATCATTTGAGCTCAGGAGTTCGAGACCAGCCTGAGCAAGAGCAAGACCTCGTCTCTACTAAAAATAGAAAGAAATTAATTAGCCAACTAAAAGCATATATAGAAAAAATTAGCTGCACATGGTGGCACGTGCCTGTAGTCCCAGCTAGTTGGGAGGCTGAAGCAGAAGGATTGCTTGAACCCAGGAGTTTGAGGTTGCTGTGAGCTAGGCTGACGCCACAGCATTTTAGCCTGGACAACAGAGTGAGACTCTGTCTCAAAAAAAAAAGAAAGAAAGGAAAACAGTGTATTGCTTTATTGTTTTTTAACCATTTATCCATCTAGGTATAAGTAAAGGTGAGTGGGTTAGTGTTTGAGTGGGAAGGAGCTGGATGATAACAGGAAACTATGCAAGAGTAAGCAGTGGAGGACTGTGCCTACCACTGTTGTGCTTCAGTGAGCAGATTTATCTTAGCATTAAACTAGTTAAAATAAAGGTAAAGGTAGTTTAAAATACAATGTTTGGGGCCAGGCACAGTGGTTCATGCCTGAAATCCTAGCACTCTGGGAGGCCGAGGCAGGAGGATTGGTTGAGCTCAGGAGTTTGAGATAAGCCTGAGCAAGAGCGAGACCCCATATCTACCAAAAATAGAAAGAAGTTGATTGGACAGTTAAATATATATAGAAAAAATTAGCCAGGCATGGTGGTGCATGCCTGTAGTCCCAGCTACTCGGGAGGCTGAGGCAGAAGGATTGCTTGAGCCCAGGAGTTTGAGGTTGCTGTGAGCTAGGCTGATGCCATGGCAGTCTAGCCCAGGCAACAAAGTGAGACTCTGTCTCATAAATAATTACTAGTTGAACAAAGCACCCCTCAAGCATCAATTTTTTTTTTAATTTTTTTTTTTTTTTACTTATTTCCTTCATAAAGCATCAATTTTAATGCAGGTAATACTATGGTGTTTGTCATTTTATTTTGTGTATTAGTTTGCTAGGGCTGCCATAAGAACATACTACAGACTGGGAAGCTTAAACAACGGAGATTTACTTTCTCACAATTCTAGAGGCTAGAATCCAAGGTCAAGGTATCAATAGGTTTGCTTTCTTCTGAGGCCTGTCCGCGTGGCTTGCAAATGGCTGACTTCTCAGTGTATATTCACATGGTCATCTCTCTTTGCATCTGGTGTCTCTTTCTGTGTCCTTACCTTTTATAAGGACACCAGGCATGTTGGATTAGGGCCCACACTGGTGACTCCATTTTAACTTAACTACTTCTTAAAAGTCCCTGTCTTAGCTCAGTCTATAATTCTAGTAAGTCAGAACTCAAAATGACAAGGATGGCTGAGGGAGCTGAACTTTATATTATAGTATGTAATAAGGCCAAGAAGAGTTTTTACAGAGAGGAGTAATCGAATCAGATCTTTGCTTTAGAAAGCTGACTGGTAAAGCAGTGTGAAAGACGGATTGAAGAAGCTGAAAGGTTACCAGCCCTGGCGAGACAGCAACTGGTGGCCAGAACTAGGGCAGTGGGAATAGAGAGAGGAGGACAAATGTAGGATATTTCATGGTAGGATCATGGAGCCTAGGGGCACCTGTCTCCTGGAACCATTTGAATGTAAGAAATGAGGGAAAGAGGATAGAGGGACTATGACAGTCTGTATTCTGATCTGAGCTCCTGGTGGGCAGGGAATACAGAAGGGAAGAGTTGAATTCAGGGAGAAGTGGTTGTACATAACAATTTCAGTTTGAACATTCAATGTGAAACAATACAGATGTAATAATAATAGCTTATATTTATTGAGAGTTTACCATATACCAATTACCGTTTTAAGTATCACTTCATATTAAACAACAACCCTGAGAGACAGATGCCATTGTCATCCCTTTTTTACAGGTACTTAGCTCACCTCTGGTACCTCATCCAAGGTCACAGTTCGTGTTAGGCAGTTCCGGGACTAAAACCCAGGTAGTCTGGCTCTACAGTCTCATAGCCACAGTGCTATGCTGCCTTTCAGTGTCCTTAAATTGTTGATGATTGAAGATCTTGCCATTCTTTTAGTTATGCTATATAATTCTAGTAAGTCAGGATTCAAAATGACAAGGGTAGAAAAAGCTGGAAATAGCATCCATAGAATTAATATTTGCTGAGTATTTTATCCATTCCCTACCCCACTCCTCAACTCCCATGGATTTCCTCAACCTGGAAGATAGACTGTGGCTAAATATATTAGATTACTTTGGTTTATAGGCCATTTTCCTCTTTGGAACATTCAGATTGGTTGAAGATGGCCAACAGCTGGTTTCCACTTGGTGGAAAAGTTTGGTGGTTACAGTTTGGTGACATTGAGATCTGATCAGGCCAATATCTGTGGCCATTCCCTGTCCAGTTGAGGTATCACAATTCTTAAGATAGTTACTGCAGAACTATTTTGAATTGACAGAAAGAGCAGACAGTCTTAAAGATTAGCTGAGTGGTCTGAGGAAGCTTGCACATAATCTCAGAATAACATAGAACACCTGACTTGCATTGTATGAAAGAAAGAACAGTTCTACCTGGAGGAAAAATGTTGCACCTCTTTAGGTAGAATCTACAGTCACACAGTCTAGTAATAACTAGTATGCAAGGCCGGGTGCGGTGGCTCACGCCTGTAATCCTAGCGCTCGGGGAGGCCGAGGCGGGCAGATTGCTCGAGGTCGGGAGTTTGAAACCAGCCTGAGTGAGACCCCGTCTCTACTAAAAATAGAAAGAAATTAATTGACCAACTAAAAATATATATACAAAAAGTTAGCCAGGCATGGTGGTGCATGCCTGTATTCCCAGCTATTCGGGAGGCTAAAGGAGGAGGATCACTTGAGCCCAGGAGTTTGAGGTTGCTGTGAGCTAGGCTGATGCCACAGCACTCACTCTAGCCTGGGCAACAAAGTGAGACTCTGTCTCAAAAAATAATAATAATAAAATAAAAAAAAATAACATAGTGCAGAAAGAGTAAGCACACACAGGGTGACAAGAAATCCATTTTATATTCTTGCTTAAAACTTTTTTTTTTATCAACTTTCATGTGCCAGTTACTGTGTTAGATACTAAAGGATATATGATAATTTTTATTGAGCATTTCAGTACACTTGCATTCGGGAGTTTTGTATGGACTATCTTTATCCCCATAACCACCCAATGCAGGAGTGACTGTTATTATCCCCATATTATAGATGAGGAAACTGAGGCATAGGAAGGCTAAGGGACTAATTCAAGGTTACATTTCTCTTAAGCAGCAGTGTGGAGAATAGACCCAGGAGTTTCATTCTCTTAAACACTGTGCTATAAGCCATGTGTAGTGGTGCGTGCCTGTACTTTCAGCTATGTAGAAGACTGAGGTGGGACAATTGCTTAAGCCCAGGAGTTCAAGGCTTCAGTGAGCTATGATCACTCCACTGCCCTCCAGCCTAGATGACAGAGCAAGACCCCATCTCTAAAAAAAAAAAAAAAAAAAAAAAGACTGCACTTCTTCAGAAATAAGTAAATCCTGATCCTTATGCCCAGGAAACTCAAATAAGAGACACATTTAAATCATCACAGCACACTCAGAGTTTGCTGGGAGGTCTACCAGAGTGTCAGGGAGATTGAGCGTCTTGAAATCAAATATTATTTTAGGGAAACTCAATTTGGATGATCAAGAGATGATTATTCACCATGACTTCTTATTTAAAAAGAAAGAATAAGGGCCAAGCACAGTGGCTCACACCTGTAATCCCAGCACTTTGGGAGGCTGAGGCAGGAGGATTACTTGAGGCCAGGTGTTTGAGACTAGCCTGGACAACATAGTGACACCCTTCTCTACAAAAAGAAATTAACTCAGCATGGTAGCATGCACCTGTAGTCCAGCTACTCAGGAGGCTGGGGTGGGAGGAGTTCAAGGAGTTCAAGGCTGCAGTGAGCTATTACTGCATCACTGCATTCCAGCCTGGGCAACAGAGCAAGACCTTGTTTGTAAAATAATCTAAAAAGAAAGAATAATTCCTATCTTTCAAGGATTTGAGAAGTATGTAACAGTCTCATACTCTGTAGGAAAAGGATCTGCCTAGATATTAGTGAAAATATGTATTTTTTTCTGCTTTAGCTCTGTGTTCTTGATTTTGTTTTCTTTCTTGTCATTTGGCATTTTTGTAATTTGTTTATTAATAGGTTTGTATTTAGCCGGATTTAACAGTGGTGTGTTCTTCCAGTTGGCTCTGCCATCCCTTAAGGTATATTCAAAGGTGGAGAGAAAATAAATGTGTATGTGCTACTGGAGGGAAAAAGAATGAATTTCCTTAAAAGATGAAATATGTGTTTGCAATTGCACAATGACACCAAATATAATAGGGCACCTCAAATAACTGGCATGACAGAGATGTTTAGTACTGCACAGGAAGAAGACCTTTTCACAGTCTCAAAAAGAGGAGAAAATACAGTATTTTTAATTCCCCAGGATATGCAAATTAGCCAAAACATTGATTCATATAAAAATAAAGTAATGTTTGTGAAATAAGTCATATGTGCTTTGGCTGGCTTTTGAACGTGCTCCTCAGGTTCACTTGGGTTTCTGGGCACATCTGTCTGTTATCTAGCAAGGTCGCGGGAATGATTTCACTCACTGTTGGCCTACCTGAGCTTGCTTACGAATCCTGAACTTTGGAACATAGAGAATTTGAGGCCGGGCGCAGTGGCTCATGCCTGTAATCCTAGCACTCTGGGAGGCCAAGGCGGGTGGATTGCTTGAGGTCAGGAGTTCAAAACCAGCCTGAGCAAGAGCGAGACCCCGTCTCTACTATAAACAGAAAGAAATTAATTGGACACTATATATATATATATATATATTAGCTGGGCATGGTGGTGCATGCGTGTAGTCCCAGCTACTCGGGAGGCTGAGGCAGGAGGATAGCTTAAGCCCAGGAGTTTGAGGTTGCTGTGAGCTAGGCTGACGTCATGGCACTCACTCTAGCCTGGGCAACAAAGAGAGACTCTGTCTCAAAAAAAAAAAAAAGATTTTGAAAACAGGAGGAGGCTGGAAACGGTGGTATTCACTGTGACTCAGGATCCTAAGTTATTACCAGTCAGCATGGTCATTTCCCAGCCTGCATCGCAGGGAGAAAACAGTGCTGCCAACTTTCCTTACTCTTCTTTCCCAGCTAGGAAAGGGGGTGGGCAGAACCTAAAAAAAATTCTGGGCTTCTCTTATTGTACTTTTTTTTTCTCTTAGAGATGGAGTCTTGCTATGTTGCCCAGGCCAAAGTACAATGGCTCGTCACAGGCATGATTATAACACACTACAGCCTCAAACTCCTGGGCTCAGGCGATCCTCCTGAGTAGCTGGCGCCATAGGCACACGTCCTTATACTCTTTAACACGTTGACTGCCACACAAAAAAATCAGAAACTTTTAATAAAAAACTGGGTTTTATTACACAAATAGAATAAAAACTTTGAGTGTAATTTAAAGGTAAAAATAAACAGAAAAATGAAATTTATTGACTTATATTCATTTAATCCACATTTTTAGAATTAAATTGGTAATATTAATTGTAACAATAAGGACATCAACAAATAAGATTTTATATATGCTTCATGCAGCCCTGGGGTCAAAAGTAGAGTGACCCCATAATATGCCGAAATAAAAAAAAAAAGTAGAGTGAGTTAAACACAACCCTAATGGCAGTTAATGTGTTAAGTATTTTCTTTTTGAGGGAGAAAAATACTACAAATTTAAAACATCAAACATCTATCATTCTTTATTCTATTCTTTATGGTAGTCAGTATATAGGAGAGAAGAAAAATGCCTCTAGAAATTAGAAATGGGATAATGATAGTAAGAACTGAAGTCCTCTGTAGAAGTGAGCCAAGAACGTAGCCTGAATAGATTTGGATACACCTGCATTTAATGAAGGTGATGTACGTAAACCTGAGGATTCAAAAGTCATTTAAAAGAGATGAAACCTAATCACTTGTATTCTGTTTTAACTGGAAGAAAAAGCTATATTTATGGCAGCCTAGGAAAATATTGGAAAAGGGGGCCAGCAGGAGAGAGAGTTCATCCTTGTTTATCCCACTGTGGGCAGAAAGGGACACTGAGCCTATCAGAGGGTAAAATCCCACCCACTAAGAGACAGTCTATGTGTCAGACTTCACCACAGTCTGGATGAAATTTTTTTTTTTTTTTGAGACAGAGTCTCGCTCTGTTGCCCCGGCTAGAGTGCCATGGCATCAGCCTAGCTCACAAAAACCTCAAACTACTGGGCTCATGCAATCCTCCTGCCTCAGCCTCCTGAGTAGCTGAGACTACAGGCATGCACTACCACCATGCCTGCTAATTTTATTTATATATATATATATATATATAGTTGTCCAGATAATTTCTTTCTATATATTTTTTTAGTAGAGATAGGGTCTCGCTCTTGCTCAGGCTGGTGTCGAACTCTTGAGCTCAAACCATCTTCCCACCTCGGCCTCCCAGAGTGCTAATGCTAGGATTACAGGTATGAATCACCACCTGGGCCTGGATGAAATACTTATAATAATAGCTGTGACTAATTAGGTACCTACTATATTCCAGGCTGTGGGTTAGGTTCCTTTTTATAGTATGTCATTTAATCCTCATAACTCATTTGCATTTCATGAATAAACCAGGGCTCAGCCAGGTTAAATAACTTGCCTAAGATTACACAGCTAATGGGTAGCAGAGCTGAGATTTGAACCTGGATCTGTCCAACCTTGAACGCTTTACTTGATTCATTTATTCGTACAAAAAAAACATGCCTGGGCACAGTGACATGCAACTGTTATCTCAGCTACTTGAGAGGCTGAGGCAGGAGGGCTGCTTGGGGCTAGTAGTACGAGCCAGCCTGGGAAATATGGAGACACCCATCTCTAAAGAAATAGGAATAATAAAGAGTGGCAGCTAAGTGCCAGGAACTGTTCTGCCCTCGAGGAGCTTATGTTCTAGTGAGGGGAGACAAAGAAAGAAAATATTTAATCCACCAAATAGTGATACATTGTGATAAAGCAGAGATGGTTACTAAGAAACACCAGGGTCAGAAGCTGCAGTTTTAAATTGGGCTGACAAGGAAGGTCTCACCGAAAAGGCAGCCCACAAAGGGTGAGAGAATGAGCCTCCCTGATAAAGAAGAGTGATAAAGAAGAGTAGCGTGAACAGGAGGTGCAGAAGAGCTCTTCCGTTTTCCTTTGCTCTCCCACAGTTTCCCACAACCCCTGTCCTGAGTCTAGGCTGGTTTCTTATTTGGGTTTCTTATTTCTTATTTGTGTTGGTACCCTTAAGAAAACATTTACTAGAAAGGCATATTTCCCAGGATAGGTTAATAAATTGGCCTCTGATCTATGTAGCAATCTCTGGTAAGGTCATTTAGGGTAAGTCAGTCTCTAAGAAACTGATCAGAATGCAGGGCCTAAGTGGTCATGATGGTCAGCTGGGTCTGGGCTCAGATCTTGGTTCCAGTGCACACTAACTGTCACACCATGTGAGTTTTCCTCAGCCTCTCCCAGCATCAGTTTCCTTATCTATAAAGCTAGCAATATTTACTATGCAGTGTGGTCTCAAGTATGAAAGTGATGATGTGAAAGATGTAATACGTGTTAGACTCTTAAGATGTGTATGGATTTTTGTTTCTTTTTGAATAGGTACACTATGTACAGATTGCTCATTTTTCTTTTGAAGTATTTCCTCATGATCTACTCTCAAAATTAGAAATAATGGGCTAAAAACTATAAAGATTTATAATTCTTCTTAAATACTGCCAGATTGCTCTGCAGAAAAACTGAACTGATCTAGAATTTCAGCAGCAGAAGAATGCTAGACAGTCTTTAGGAAAGATAACTCCTCCTACTAGGTCAGATTTTAATTTCACACCAAAAAATTACTTATCAGCATTTCTTCCAACTGCTATGATGACATAAACAGTCTTCATGTAGACCTTCTCTACTTTTCAGGTGTAGGAATCGGTGTGGTCCATGCTGGGTATGAGAGACGCCTGGCCCACCACCTGGGAGCACACAGCACACCCTCTATCCTAGGAATCATTAATGGGAAAGTGTCCTTCTTCCACAATGCAGTTGTTCAGGAGAACCTACGACAATTTGTAGAAAGTCTTCTTCCAGGGAACTTGGTGGAGAAAGTAAGTATCTATCTAGAACATGGCTGAGAAGTAGCTTAAGAGGTGCCTGGGTCTGCTGATTGCCTGGGAGTTTATCTGTGGTTCTCTCAGACCTGAGTTTCATTTTGAGCAGGGCACATCAATGAATTAATCAAACCAAATCATTTAAACAAAATCTATAGGAGACTGAAAATTAAAACAGATGAACAACAGAGACTAAAAGAATTAATTCCAATTAATAACCGTCTTATAGATGGTTTTACAGTGTCATAGGAATCTGAGCCTAAAATGACAGTGACTATTTTCTAAACAACCAAAAATTAGATCGCATAGTAGAATAAAGGATTTCTTTCCAGCTCGTGAATTTGTTCATGTGAAGGTATTTGTCTTATAAAAATATTCAAATTAAATTATACTTGGTTATATATTTAATGATCATATCTATAAAATGCCATATTGCATAAAAGCAATTACTTTTGGAGTAACTTTAGAAGCTTATAGTGACACAACAATATGAATGAATTTCACAAAGAAAAGCTTGAGCTAAAGAAACCAAACACAGAGTTCATATTAGTTTATGATTTTTATGTTTAAGCACCTAATTTTTTCCCCAGCATCTTAGTTTAGGGATCATAGTAACTAGAAAAGGACTCTTCGTTTTGCTTTAAATAATGCATTCTTTTAACAATACCAGGGAAAGCAAACATAGAAAAATTTCCATCTTATTTCTACAATGCACTATTGCATTGCATTGCATGCATTCTATATGCAATGCATTCTATCTGCACTATTCATAGACTGTCCTGCTGGAATCATTATCCACAGAAGAAATATTTGTTGGAGTAAGCTTAAAAGGTCAGAGAGTATTATGGCTTCCTAAAAGATGATAGGTTGTCCTCATGGTCCTCAAACATACAGAATGACCTATTCTGCCAGGCACAGAATAACGTGAGTGTTGAGGACACATTTCAAGCAGCTCCTAGGCTAGTAGGTGGTTATTTCTATCCGTTATGTTGGAGCCCATCCTATCGAGTTGAGAAAGTCTTCCTGGCAGAAATGACCCTTGTGCTGAGTTTGCCAGGTGGAGAGAGAGAATGGGGGAATGCGTTGTGGGCAAGCAGAGGTCTGGAGACATGAAGGAGCCTGCTTTGTGTGAAGTCGTCATTGGTGAGCAAGAGAGGATGAGGTTAGAGGGGTTAACAGGAATCTCACTCAGGCTCTCAGAGCACCTCCGTGCCCCTGTAAGGAACTCTGGCCTTGACCTACAGGTGATAGAGCCATCGTAGAGATTTCAGCAGAGGAGTGAAATGATCAGATCTGGGTTTTATATAAATCATTCTGGATGCTATGTGGAAAGATAAACTTTTTTGAACTATGAAAAATTTCTAGATAGAATCTAATTTATTCCTGTTTGTAATTTATTCTTTCAAAGGGATATTTTAAGACATAAACAAGGAAAAAGTAGCAATTCAGATGGCAATAAATGAAATTATATAAGGTATAGATGAGGTGGACCTTATTTTTATTTAAGCCATTTAAAAAGGGCAAGTATTGCATTATCTTCTGCAGCCTAGTAGATTAAGAAGTGTACTCTTGGCCATGTGAGGTGGGTCACACGTGTAATCCCAGCACTTTGGGTAGCTGAGGTGGGAGGATCACTTGAGGCCAGGAGTTAAAGACCAGCCTGGGCAACACAGCAAGACCCTGTCTCTAAAAAAAAAATAGAAAAATTAGCTGGGCATGGTGGCAGGCGCCTGTAGTCCCAGCTACCTAGGAGGCAGGAGAATTGCTTGAGCCTAGCCCAGGAGTTGGAGGCTGCAGTGACCTATGATGACGCCACTGCACTCCAGCGAGGTAACAGAGAGAGACCTTGTCTCAACAAAAGAAGTATACTGTATAATTAAGCAAGAACCAACTTTTGTAAGCTCAGTTTTTATAATATGGTCAGTAATTGTTTCAGACATGGTTATGATTTCAGTGTATAAGACTGGAAATCGGCCGGGCACAGTGGCTCACGCCTGTAATCCTAGCACTCTGGGAGGCTGAGGCGGGTGGATTGCTTGAGGTCAGGAGTTTAAAAAGCCTGAGCAAGAGCGAGACCCCATCTCTACCATAAAAATAGAAAGAAATTAATTGGCCAACTAATATATATAATATAAAAATCAGCCGGGCATGGTGGCTCGTGCCTGTAGTCCCAGCTACTCGGGAGGCTGAGGCAGCAGGATCGCTTGAGCCCAGGAGTTTGAGGTTGCTGTGAGCTAGGCTGACGCCACGGCACTCACTCTAGCCTAGGCAAGAAAGCGAGACTCTGTCTCAAAAAAAAAAAAATAAAAAAAAAAAAATAAAAAGCCTGAGCAAGAGCGAGACCCCATCTCTACTATAAATAGAAAGAAATTAATTGGCCAACTAATATATATAGAAAAAATTAGCTGGACATGGTGGCGCATGCCTGTAGTCCCAGCTACTCGGCAGGCTGAGGCAGAAGGATTGCTTGAGCCCAGGAGTTTGAGGTTGCTGTGAGCTAGGCTGATGCCACGACACTCACTCTAGCCTGGGCAACAAAGCGAGACTCTGTCTCAAAAAAAAAAAAAAAAAAAAAAAGAATGAAAATGTGAAATCAGTATCTTTTAATAGCTTTAGTCAAATGAAGACAGAAAAATTAGTTGTCTGCATTTTTTATTTTTTACACATATCTGTTTTATCTCCTGACTGGAGTATAATACCATTGTTAAAAATTAAATATTGAGACCAACATTCTGTTTTCAATTTAAGGTTACGAATAAAAATTATGTCCAATTCCTCTCTGGCTGGCAACAGGAGAATAAACCTCATGTCCTTCTATTTGACCAAACACCCGCTGTGCCACTGCTATACAAGGTAGTTTCTATCTTGTCATAATGTTTTCATTTTGTGTGTGTGTGTGGAAAGTAATCTCTGAATTGGAACTTGTAGCCTATTTGTCCTTTTAGTAAGTAACAGTTTATTCCATGAGAAGTGTTTGAAGACCACAAGTGTTACTTAACCACCATAGGTTGAGCACCTACTGATTCTAGTTACTGTGCTGGTGCTTTCCATGCATATATCACTTAATCCTCAGAAGAACCCAGTGATAGAAATATTATCCCTATTTCATAGACCAAGATACTGAGGCTTAGAGTGGTCACATAATCTACCCAGGGTCTCACTACAGGGTGGTGAGTATGCGATTTCCGTTGAGCCTGTCTGACTCCAAACCTGCCCTCTGAATGATGCCCTCTACTACACTTCAGCACACTTCTTGACATTACTGTGACATGAGATAGGAGAGAAAGGTTTCCTGGCCATTGGCATGGTCACTGCCATCTTACCCAATTAGGGTACCAATAATTCCCCAAACCTATGCCTCCCACCCAGTGCAGATCTCAGTAAGATGATCATTTTGCTTTATCTGTGCAAAAAAGAAATATTTGCATTTACCTTGTTGGTATGGTTTTTGGGCATGGAACATCATAGAATCCCTGGAAGCCCACAGCGTGTGAAAGGTCTAGTAGAGCTGTATATGTATCTGCCTTCCATCTCCACCCAGTGATATGAGCAAGTCCCACTTGATTTGCAATTTGGATGCTGTGCTATCAATTTCATTGTCTTCCTCTCTATTATGCCCTAACAGTTGACTGCTTTTGCCTACAAAGATTATTTATCCTTTGGATATGTGTATATGGGTTTGAGAGGAGCAGAGGAGATAACAAGACAGTACAACATCAATTCCAACACCCCCACCATCTTGGTCTTCAAAGAACATATAAACAAGCCTGCTGATGTTATCCAGGTATGTGAGAATCACCTTGTTTCAAGATTTCCTTCACAGTTTATCTTAAGTCTTTGTGTAAATAAACAGCAAAATTGAACACAAAGTAGTTGAGGGAAAGAGAAATTGGTTTTCAATTTCTTCCTTCAGATGCACAAAATTCAAAAAGGAGTTTGTTTTTTATCTGACTTGATACAATTTTGCTTTTAAAAAAATCTTTTATCTCTAAAGTGTTCCTGTTGGAAAATCAACAGTCTGTTTCGAAAATAAATTACAAAAGTTGGACCAGTCATGGTGGCTCACATCTGTAATCCTAGCACTCTGGGAGGCCAAGGCGGGAGGATGGCTTGAGCTCAGGAATTCAGGACCCTGAGCAAGAGTGAGACCCCATTTCTACTAAAAATAGAAAACAATTGGCAGGACACGGTGACTCACATCTGTAATCCTAGCACTCTGGGAGGCTGAGGTGGGCGGATCGTTTGAGCTCAGGAGTTTGAGACCAACTGGAGCAAGAGCGAGACCCCATCTCTACTAAAAGATAGAAAAAAATTAGCCAGGCGTGGTGGCGCATGGTGTAGTCCCCGCTACTCAGGAGGCTGAAGTAGAAGGATCGCTTGAGCTCAGGAGTTTGAGGTTGCTGTGAGCTAGGCTGACGCCACGGAACTTTAGCCCAGGCAACAGAGTAAGACTCTGACTCTAAAAAATAAATAAATAAAAATAAAGGGGGACCACTGCATGTAAAACGAGGAGAAAAGGTGGCCAAGGACAAAATTCTGGACAACAACCAGCAAATAAAGCAAGAGGTCCCTGATGGAAATTGAGAAGGTGCAACGAGTCAGGAAGAAAACAAATGCCAGTGGCAGAATAGAAAAGAGAAGATCATCTCAATCCAAGGTTAACGGGTGAGGATTCCTGAATTGCTTTTTAGTAACAGTTTATACTCTTGAGAATTGTACTTATATTAATATATCCCCTGGGGAAAACTATATATCAAATACATTTACAAAACTACTGGTACAATACATGCTTTACCAACCTGCTCTTTAAAGATAGAAAAATGCACGCTTAACATAAACCAAATTTTCCCACCAGCAAGTGGCTTAGTGTAACACTAGTATTATCAGTTGTTTCCTGCTGCTCTAGGTAATTTGTTTTCGTTGGTATATGGTATTTATGGCCACGTTGTAATCTATTGATTCTTTGGTCAGTGGACCTTTGGGGGCTTTGGGGAGCAGTGTGGCCACAAACATCTTACGTACCTGACCTTGAGCACAAGGTTCTCTAGGACAGCAGTTGTCAGAATGTGGTTCACAGACCTCTGGGGTTGCAGGGTCCCAAGGACCCTTCAAGAGGGAGTCTGTGAGATCAAAACTATCTTTATGATAACACCAAGACGTAATGTGCCTTTTTCACTGTGTTGACGTTTGTGCTGCTGGCACTAAAGAGCGGTGGGTAAAGCGCCTGTGCGGGAATCCACCAGGGCCCCAGCGGCCAGTCTGCGCTGTGTGCTTCACCCCCAGGCCCTCGCAGCAAAACAGACAGAACACTGATTTCAGTTCCTATCCTTGCTGCAGCAGTAAGAAGTATTTTATTAAACTTAACCCTTGAGTACATATCTTTTTGGTATTTTTAATCTGTGTGATGCGATGGCAAGTGTGCATAAAGTTATTGGGCTACTGCCACAGGATGTCCCAGTGCTTACCTCAGGAGTTGGACCTAGCCATTTTTCTTAATGGAACATCATTTTTACTTGAGAGAATAACTGATGGACAACTGTGGTCATTTAAACTTGGGAATTTGGCAGACATTTTCTCAAAAATGAGTGAAGTGAGACTGGCACAAGCTTCCAAAAATTAGAATTTGGAAAAATCTGTATTGGCCATCATGAGCTTGACAGCTTCTCAAAACTTCCTGATAAGATTGGTTCATCGATGTGATGTGATGTTTTTGTAAACATAATGAACTGTATCAGTGTTTGAAGATCAGTGGACCAGTATTTTCCAGATGACCAATGCATGATATTTAAAAATCATGTGTGAGTAAAAGATCCATTCTAAGCACAAGGAACCTGGGTATCTTCTCATTTGTATGTGAGCCTTTGGGTTTCCTCTTTGTGACATATTTGTCTGTTTACCCATTTTTTTCTATTGGATTATCTGCCTTTTTGTTATTGAGTTGTAAGGATTATTTATATCTTCTCACCTTTTTTTCTGTATTTTTCTCCTGGTGTTTTGTTTATATGTGTGGCAGATACCTCTACCCATTCTATGGAATGTCTTTCACTATTTTTTTTATTTTTTTTTTGAGACAGAGTCTCCGTTGGCCTGAGTAGAGTGCCGTGGCATCAGCCTAGCTCACAGCAACCTCAAACTCCTGGGCCCAAGCGATCTTTCTGCCTCAGCCTCCCTAGCAGCTGAGACTACAGGCACATGCTACCACACCCAGCTAATTTTTCTATTTTTAGTAGAGATGGGGTCTCACTCTTGCTCAGGCTGGTCTTGAACTCCCGAACTCAAGCAATCCTCCTGCCTCGGCCTCCCAAGTGGTAGGATTACAGATGTGAGACACCACACCTGGCCCTTTTCACTGTTTTTATAGTACCCACCTTTTAAAATTATTGATTGACATACAATACACATGTAGAGAGGTGCACAAACCACAGGTGTAAAGCTCAGAGAATTGTCACAAAATGAGTTATGTCCATGCTAGCATCACTTGTTCAAGAAACAAAATATTGGGCCAGATGTGGTGGCTCACACCTATAATCCTAACAGTAAGAGAGGCTGGGACTAGAGGATTGCTTGAGGTTAGGAGTTTGAGACCAGCCTGAGCAAGACCCTCTCTCTACTAAAATTAGAAAAAATTAGCCCAGCGTGGCGGCATACACCTTTAGTCCCAGCTACTCAGGAGGCTTAGGCTGGAGGATTGTTTGAGCCCAGGATTTTGAGGTTACAGTGAGCTGTGGTGATGCCACTGCACTTTAGCTGGGACAACAGAGACTCTTGTCTCAAAAAAAGAAAAGAAAAGAAAAAGAAACAAAATATTGTCATCGTACTAGAAGATTCCCTCTTTCTCCCTCCCGCCTAATTACCTCCTTCCCAAAGGTCAGTACAGTCCTGTTTCTAACAGCATGGATTAGTTTTACATATTTTTGAATTTTATCCAAATGGAATCATACAGTGTACATATCTTGTGTCTAGCTTCTCTTAATTTACATGTTTGAAATTCATATATGTCATTTTGTGGAGCTTAATATTTGTTCATTCTCATTACTGAAAATTGCATGATAGGAATAGACCATAGTGTATTTGTCCATCCTATTGGTTTTCTTTTTTTTTTTTTTAAACAGGAGAAAAAAAGTTTATTTGTATACATGTAAGAGTTAACAAAAGAAGCAGCTCTGCCCCTCCTATTATTGACATACATTTGGGTTTTTCCAGTTTGCAATTATTTGAATAATGCTGCTATGAATATATTGTATTTGGTGTCTCTTTGATGAACATAAGTTCTTTTAATATATTTACTCACATCAATATTTTCCTTTTGTGATTGGTTCTTGTTTGCTTCTGTTTAAGACATCCTTCCCCTACATCAAGGTCATGAAGATATTCTTCTCATAGAGCTTCTAAACATTTTATAGCTTTGCCTTTTATATTTAGGTATTTAAAATCATTTGGGGCGGGGCGCGGTGGCTCACGTCTGTAATCCTAGCACTTTGGGAGGCCCAGGCGGGCAGATTGCTCAAGGTCAGGAGTTCGAAAAATTGCCATAGCATAAATACTGGATACAAGGTAACCCGAGTAGACGGTAGCGAGATAAGATTTTTCCAGAGAAAAATGATAAAGATTTAGGCTCGAAGGGTCAGCATACTGAGATACATAAAGAACCCAGGGTAAACGATAGATGCAGAAACACGAGCCGGTTCATGTGATAGGCCTGAAAAGCTCAATTCTATGAATCTCTGACTAATCAATTTACACATATTCCCCTACACAACATGAAGATAAAATATAGATATCATGAGAATTTCTCATAAAAATATGTGTCACGCTAATGTTCGTGATATTTAATTTATACAGCGTATTCCTCCCCGAATTGATTTAAAGAATCAGTACAACTGAATAAATCCAAAATAACATTTTATATGTTATAGTTGTGGATGAAACGTCTGACAGAATTAATGTATAAAGCAAAAAATACAAACGCCAACAGCCAGAGTGCTTTTAAAGAAAAAGTCTCCCAAATCCAAAAAACAGAAGAGATTACATTTACCGAGTCTTGATTATTCCAAGATTTTTTTTTTTGAGACAGAGCCTCACTTTGTCCCAGGCAGAGTGAGTGCCATGGCGTCAGCCTCGCTCACCGCAACTCAATCTCCTGGCTCAAGCGATCCTCCTCCTCAGCCTCCCAAGTAGCTGGGACTACAGGCATGTGCCACCATGCCGCTAATTTTTTGTATATATATTTTTTAGTTGGTCAATTAATTTCTTTCTATTTTTGGTAGAGACGGGGTCTCGCTCAGGCTGGTTTCGAACTCCTGACCTTGAGCAATCTGCCCGCCTGGGCCTCCCAAAGTGCTAGGATTACAGACGTGAGCCACCGCGCCCCGCCCCAAATGATTTTAAATACCT